AAATAATTGTGTATTTCTTTAAGTCATTACTTTCATTCTTTCAAGCACAATTATATTCCTATGTATTTTAAACATAATATAGCTGAAATATTTTTCTCAATTAGTGAGCAATTTCTTTCTACACTTTTACTTTGCAAATATACTGCTAAGATGATTCGCCATATCGTTATAGATTTGCCGAAATACTATTTAGTATTTCATTTCGCAAACAATAATTAATATGGCATAAAAGATCAATATTTTTACATCTATTAGTTGAAATATATTTACATAATTGCAAAACATAAATTGCCTATAAGATTTCGTCATATAGTTTTAGAAATGCTTTCCTATTGGGGTACGGGATATATTTTAATGAAAGATTACTCAATTTGAATACAATTATTTTGTACATTTTTATATTAATCTATCACTGATAGCTCTAGATATGCGGAGTTTTAAAACTGAACGAACTAAGCTCCAGTAGAAATAAAAATCGCAAAATGTTCTCTTATTATTTTACAATTCAACACCATCTTATGACATAGTGTAATTTATTTACGAATATTGGAAGACACAGAGAAATTGGATTTAATATTATCGCTTATTGTTAGTATCGCAATTATCTCCTCTAATCGCAGGAGATTCGCAAGAATTAAGGTAATAATAAAGCGACAAGTGACAAGAATATTGTTTGTATAATATGAGAAAAGATTCGAATGAAACAGATTTTAACCTCTTCGATACTCTTAGAACAAATGTTTTACAAGAGACTGGAAAAGTTTGATTGAAGTTTAAAAATTCCATTTTTATATTCTTTTTACACGTAATAATTTGTGAGCAATGTCGAAGAATACAGTATCGAAAAGATTAATAAATGGAGATCCTTGGAGAAAAGGATTGAGTGGGATTACGTGAGAACGCACATAGAAATGGCCATCATATACGGACATGTGTTAAATTTCATCTTAATTTAACGCTATATCTAGTACTAATTAATAATGGAAGACTGATTAATAATGGAAGACTTTCGCGCCGGCTAAAGAGCTTAAGCGCTGATAGAATATCTGCTCGCATTGATTTGTAAACGTCTTGTTCTGTACGACAAGAAAAGGAGGAGATTTCAATTCGGCAAGTAGTATTCTCGCGGTATGTACTCCGGCTTCGGACTGCTCGGCTCGATACCCAGTAATTCTCCCATGAAAGCGATGTACGTGATAGCCAAGCGCAGCGTTTCGATTCTCGAAAGTCGCTTCTCGTAAGCAAATGTCGGTACCTGATCAGGAAAAAGTTATAAGTGAAAATCATAATTAAGTATTCTTAAATATAAAAGCATTTGAAAGAATTGGAAAGGCTGATTTTTAAATAAGAGAGATTTTAACGAGAAGGTACGCAAATATCTTTAATTTTTAGAACATTCGCCCAGCAAGCGGAAGACCCGGGTTCAATTCCCGGCTTAGCCACTCGCGCACTAATATTTTTTCTCTCTCTTCTTTTCTTTCCAATAATTCCTATATGTACATTAAGTTTCTCGATATATGAGAACAATGTACTTAAAATTTCGTACACTTTAAGTATCTGAGATCGGTGTACAATCTAACTGTCTCTTGTAGACTAATTTATTAATTTCTTTAAGAAAAATTAAAAAATTTAGCACTAACATCCTGCGACGGCTCTTAATGCTCTTCTATTATATTTCTTGATTGTTATCATATGGAGCCTTACTATTATATGTGTCTTTAATTTTTCTCCGTTCTTTTGAAATTCTTTTTCAATAAATTTATTGATACCTAAATTTAACATACCTTTCTTCGCAGTTTATCGAAAGCTTCGTTCAGATTGAACATCCTGCGCCTTTCCCGAATATTTGCTGCTCTTCTCTGGGATACCGTCGCCACTCGACGTCTCGGTTTCTTCGTCGTCGACGACGGCAAATTTGGTGAACGACCGTTTGGTGTATAACGACTAAAAATTTCAATTTGGTATTTTTTCAGAAATTAAATAACTCATTGAGGTAAGAAAGTCTATTATGAATTTGCACTATTCTGATCGGAAACATGAATTTTCGTCTAACGAGTTTTAATAGCAATTCTTATAGATATCCTTTTTTCAACTATTGCGAATCTCTTTTAGAATCTTCCACTGTTATGCGACAGAATAAAAAATAAGCGGTCTCTTCTAAAAAAATATGTAAATTTCGATCGAAACTGCACTTTTTGTTTATTCGCGTTGGAAGCTTCTCGATTTCTTCTCATGTTATTTGCATCATAACGAAGCAGAAATCTGTCACCGTCATTCCGAAAGCTCTCTGCGTGGCCAGACGGTGATTTTATTATTTTTATTTTCAGCAGAGACGAAATTACCTTTGGTGTAACAGTGCGCAAGGCTGCCTGTATAATCCGTGCTCGTTCACATGTGGATGAGTAGGCGGCTGTGCCTGATACAAGACAGCACTATCCCACATCGGGTAACTGCCGATCTCACCGCCAACGTACTGCGACATCTCCGCCGCGATTACCTGTCGCGAATAGATTTCATCTGAGAGAATCGGTCGGTCCAGGGGACGCAAACTGCGCAAAAATCCGAAATAAATGGCAGGTAATTTCGCTTCTAAACGTCCCGTCCGCAAAGGATCAAAATGCGTCGCGTGAGATGACAATAAGGCTTCGATGCGGCGCTGTATTTTTCGATTTTCAACAATTAAATATTGTTTTAATTAAGGTCCTCAATAATTAAGGATATCGACAAATATCGTCAACACAATAAAGTGTACCGCTATTGATTAACTTTTCTTTTTTTTTATTTTTACTTTTAC